GGGGCTTTCCCGCAAAAAATCTCACCCCGTGGGGGCAAAAGATCCCAAAAACGGGGGAGCAAAAAACCCAGAACCCCACGGGGGAAAACCCAGTTTTAATGACCTTTTTAAAAGCTGGGCCAAGTAACAAACCCCACCCCTCAGTAAAAAACTACCCGGCCCAAAACCAAATCCGGGATTTCTAACTTTTCCCCCCTTTTTTAAGGGCCCGTAAATGTCCAGGCCCTTTTTAAGTTTGCTAAAAGGGGGGCATTTGGATGATCCAGAAAAGGAGGGAGAATGTCTTGGCAAATTTAAACCCCAAAATTTTAACTTTTTGGTAAAAAAATAAATCGTCTTTGTTTGGAGGACAAAAAATGCTGAGTTGCATCCAAAGAAACACCATACCTACTGTGAAGGCAGGGGGTGGAAAAACCCCTGCTTTTGGGGGGCCCGTTTTTCTGGCCCAAAGGGACCAGGCCCACTGATCCGTTTTAAAGGAAAAAAAATGAATGGGGGGCCAAGGTATCGTGAGATTTTGAGTGGGAAAACCTCCCTTTCCCTCAGCAAGGGCATTGAAAAAAACTTGGCGGGTTTTTCAGGAAAGACAATGATCCCAAAAACCCCGCCCGGAGCAACAAGGAGGGGGCCTTTGTAAAAAGGGATTTCAAGGGGCCGGGTTGGCCTAGCCTCTCCCCGATCTCAAACCCCCTAGAAAAACTTTTTGGGGGGAGTTGAAAGTCTGTGTTGCCCAGCCCACACCCCCCAAAAAATCATGCCCCTAGAGGGGTTTTGCATGGAGGAATGGGCCCCAAAAAAAACCCGAACAGTTTGGGGAAAACCAATTTTGAGAACTTACAGAAAACGTTTGACCGGGGTCATTGCCCACAAAAGGGGGGATAAAAAACTATTGAGAAACTTTTGTTATTTAAACCAAAAAATTATTTTTTCCACCAAATTTGGGAAAAAAAATTCATAAAAAAACCTAAAAAAAATTTTTTAAAAAATTTTTTTCCTTTCCAAGGCCCTTTCCAAAAAAAACGGGGCCTTTCCCAAAGTGGGGGTTTCCTGGAACAAAAATTTTTTTTTCCCCATTTTGTTGGGGTTTTAAAAAAAAAAAACCACCTCCAAAAAATTTTTCCCCCGGGCCCTCTCAAACCCGGCCCCTTTCTCCCTCTTTTAATGGGGGAGGAAATTGGTGCCAACCCCCAATTTGGGCCCGGGCTTAAAAAATTTCCCAAATTTTTTTCCGCCCACTGAGTTCTTAAACCAAAAGTGGGGGGGGGCGGGGGGTTCCCCAGTTTTGGGCAGGGGGGGCCCCAAAACCCTACCGGGCCCCGAAAATTTTAAAGCGGGGTTTCGTGGCCCGCCGGGGAAAAGGAAAAAGGGTTTAAACCCCCAAAGCCCAATGTCCTTCCCCACCCCCCTTTAAAGGGCCTTGGGGGGCCACCGGGGCCCAAAGCCCCGTCCCCCACGGGATAATTAGCCCCCTGCCTTTACCTTTTTGGGGAAACCCCGTGGGGTTGGGTGGCCTTGCCGGCCGGCACAGGTTCCCCCACTTCCCCCAAAAGGGGGTCTTAAACCCCCCCAAAAATTGGGAAAAATAAACGGGGCCCAGGCCAGCCACCGGGAGCCCCAAAAGTAACAAAGTTCTTTATCTAAACAAATGCCCCTGTCCCGGCTTCCAAAAAAACCGAACCCCCCTTTTTTTTGGCCAAGGAACCCTTAATGGGAAAGCTGCCAACCCCCCCCAAAGGGCCCCGGGGTTTTCCCCTCCGGAGTAAAAGGGAAAACCCCCCCAAAAACTGCTTGCAACCTCTTTTAAAAGTTTGGGTTTTTAATTAACCAAAAAGGGGGGCAAAACCCCCTCCCCTTTTTCCCCCAAAGAGGGGAAAACGGGAAAACCAAAGGGGGGGGGAAGGGGGCTCCCCGGAAACTCCCGGGGCCCATGCCCTGCTTTTTTGGGCCCCCGGGGAAAACCCCGGAAGTCCGTCCTGTTTAACTACGCACATCCCCTGCATGGGGGGAAACCTGTTCCCAAAATTTTTTGGGAAACAAGGGGCAAATTTTAAATTAGGGGAAGGGCATTTCGGGGTTGGGTTGACCCCAGGGGGGGGCCCCAAAAACCCTTGCCCTTTCCCCCCCAAGGGGGACCAGATTTTTGGGCCCCGGCCCCCCTGGAAAAAAATCCAAACCGGGGGAAAAAAACCCCCAAAAACCCGGGATCCGGGGAAGATGTCTATCGGAAAAAAAAGAATGTCTTAACCCCGGGGTCCCCTTTTTAATGGTTCTTACCCCTCGCAAACCCCCCCCCCCGTCACAAAAAAGGAAAAAACTTTTAAGGGGAAAGGGGGAATTTAGGAAAAAAAATTAGGGGCCCTTCCCCAAAGGCCGCCCATGTCAACTCGCCTTTTGCCGGGTTTGGACAGGGAAAATTTACAGGCTCCGGCCAAAAAAGGGTCCCGGGAAGTGGGGCCAATCCCCCCTGAATGGGTGGTCCCCCTGGTGGCCCCGTTTTTCCCCCCCCAGGGAAACCCCCCAGGGGGGAAACCCCCTTGTTCCCCGGGGGCTTGGTTCGGGGAACCCCACCCGGGTTTTTCCCCCCTTAAAGGAAACAAAATCCATTTCGGCCCACCATGGTGGAACCCCCATGGGGGCCCCGGGGGGCCAGCAATGGAGACCTGGGCCCTTAAAAAGGGAAGGGGCCCCAGGCCCCCCACCAACTACCCGGAGGCTACAGGTTTAAATGAAAGGTCTCCCCCCAATTAACCCCCTCCCCCGGTAAACCCTTCCGGGGTCCCGTTTACCTTCTTCCCCCGGGGGGTCCCAAACCCCCCCCAGGGGCCCCTCGGTTGGCAAGAACCGGAAAGGGGGGGCTTTTTCCAAGGGAATTTAGCCCTTCAAAATTTCCCCCCATCCCGGGGTTTGGGGCCCACTCCAAAGCCTTTGCCGGGAAGACCCCCGGGGGAAATTAGGCCCGGAAACCCCTTGACCCAAAAGGGCCCGGGGAATGGGGGCCGGAACCACCCCAGGGGAAAATGGGCCCCCCCCCCCTTGGGGTGGGGAAAAACCCGGTTTTTTCCCCCCTTTCCCTCCCCGGGGGGAAAAAAAAACCCCCCCCCCCCAAAAGGGGGAAGGGGGCGTGGGCCCCCCTTCCCCCCACAAGGGAGGGAGGGTGGGTTTTTTGGGACCCCCCCCAAATTTGGGGGTTCAAAAGGGCCCCCCGGCCCCAAGTTGCCGGGGAAAAACCCCCTGGTTGGTTTGGGTTTCCCCGAATACGAATCCCCCCAACCGGGGCGTGGGGTTTTTCCCCCCCTGCCTTTTTGGCTGGGGGGCCCCCCCCTTTTGGGGGGGGGTTGGTTCTTCATGGGTGAAAATAAAAGTTTTGGTGTGGGGAAAAGTTCCCGGGCAAAAGGGGGCAGGACCCCCAACCGGGGGGAAATTAGTTTCCCCAAAACCCAACCCGGGGGTTTATAGGTTTAAAAACCCCCTTTTGGGGGGGGAAAAATCCCAATTTTTAAACGGGGGCCCCCCCAAAAAACACCCCAGGGAAAGGCCGGAAGGGGGTGGTTACCAAACTTTCCGGCCCCCTACCCCCTTTTCCAAAAAACCCAAACCCAAAAGAGGAAAACAACCAAAAACCCCAAAACTGAGGAAAATTTCGAAAAAAAAACAACAACCAACCCCCAAAACCTTTAAAAAAAAAACCCAAAAAAAACAGGCAAAACTTATAGAACACATAATCAGACACAAAACGGACACAGGTGCAATAGACAGACAAAAGCAATCAAACATAGAAACATTCAACGGTGGCAGCTAGTACTCCGGGGACGACGAACGCCGAAGCCTGCCCGAACAAGGAGGAGGAGCAGCCTTGGCAGAATCCGTGACACACTGACAGTGTCACCAGCAAAGCACCCCCACACCATCACACCTCCTCCTCCATACTTCACGGTGGGAACCACACATGCGGAGATCATCTGTTCACCTACTCTGCGTCTCACAAAGACACGGCAGTTGGAACCAAAAATCTCATATTTGGACTCATCAGACCAAAGGACAGATTTCCACCGGTCTAATGTCCATTGCTCGTGTTTCTTGGCCCAAGCAAGTCTCTTCTTCTTATTGGTGTCCTTTAGTAGTGGTTTCTTTGCAGCAATTCGACCATGAAGGCCTGATTCACACAGTCTCTTCTGAACAGTTGATGTTGAGATGTGTCTGTTACTTGAACTCTGTGAAACATTTATTTGGGCAGCAATTTCTGAGGCTGGTAACTCCAATGAACTTATCCTCTGCAGCAGAGATAATTCTGGGTCTTCCTTTGCTGAGGCGGTCCTCATTAGAGCCAGTTTTCATCATAGCGCTTGATGGTTTTTGCGACTGCACTTGAAGAAACGTTCAAAGTTCTTGACATTTTCCGGATTGACTGACCTTCATGTCTTAAAGTAATGATGGACTGTCGTTTCTCTTTGCTTATTTGAGCTGTTCTTGCCATAAACTTGGTATTTTAACCAAATAGGGCTATCTTCTGTATACCACCCCTACCTTGTCACAACACAACTGATTGGTTCAAACGCATTAAGAAGGAAATAAATTCCACAAATTTACTTTTAACAAAGGCACACCTGTTAATTGAAATGCATTACAGGTGACTACCTCATGAAGCTGGTTGAGAGAATGCCAAGAGTGTGTAAAGCTGTCATCAAGGCAAAGGGTGGCTATTTGAAGAATCTCAAATATAAAATATATTTTGATTTGTTTAACACTTTTTTGGTTACTACATGTTTCATATGTGTTATTTCATAGTTTTGATGTCTTCACAATATTCTACAATGTAGAAAATAGTTTTTTAAAATTAAGAAAAACCCTTGAATGAGTAGGTGTGTCCAAACTTTTGACTGGTTCTGTATATATATATATTTTTTGCAATGCACAAAAAATATCATCCTGTGACCCACCTGGACCCCTGCCGGACCCACAAGTGTGTCCCAACTCCCGACCCACAGTTTGGGAACCACAGGGCTAGGAACTAACTGTCCTCTGTCATGAACACTGAACTTTACATAATACATTTTCATCAACGACTTGTTCCCACCCTTTCTGTACCCAAGGAAACTTGAAAGAGAAGGATCGGTCTCTGGTCAAGTTCTGCTTGCAGCATGGGAGCAGAATATGGCTGCATATAAAAACAGGAGTTTGATACACATAATAAATAGAGCCAGTGTATTCTTCAAGAACGGCAGCTACCGAAATAGAATTGCATTTACCTCTCTGAAACCTGTTCAGTGTCAGAGGCGAACAGTCTCCAGCATCGGCGAAAGGAACACGAATTTGACACCGCACTTGAGCTCACATCTCGCTGGATGGTCATACAAGGAGTTATATGAATTGTCTGTAAAAGACCCAGAAACATTTTGGGGATCAATTGCTAAAGAGAAGCTTACATGGAGTAAACCATTCGATCAAGTGAGCGACTGCGAAATTACTAGTGGAAAAATCAATTGGTTTCTTGGTGGACAATTGAACGTTTCTGGTAAGAATTGCCATCCCCTATTATTACTAGTAGGATTATTGGCTACACTATAAATATTTCCTACCCCATTGCATAACAGCATTTACTCAGCATCCTACATAGACTGGAAGTGCGTGCTCAAGCCTAATTCTCTTCTAGGATTAAGTTGATATTGTTTATGTTCGTGTGGATCTTGGTCAGGTTTGCTAACTATGTTCAATGTACATTATGCTTACTGGACAGCCCCCCAAATACTGGACAGTAAGTTACATTATTTCATCCATTCATCCATTTGATTGGCAGTGAATTGTTTGGATGTGCATGTTGCCAAGCATCCTGACAGAGTCGCCCTGGTCTGGGAGAGGGATGAACCTGGGACGGAGGTAAAGGTCACCTATAGGTAAGTTCATGCCTATGCAAGGACCTTCAGCAGGGTGGGGGACTTGGCAATCTTTCTATTATAACATAATGCTTATCTTGGAAAGCTTGCGATATGATATAGATAAGAGTTATCTGAATGAACTTATCCACATCATTCAGCAGAGGAGCTGAAATCTCGACTGAACTGTGCAATAGAGTAGGAGGTGTAACATAAAAATACTTCACATTCCACACTGAACCAGAAACGTTTGCCTACAGATGTAGGATCTTAATTTGAGCCAGTTTGCTACAGCATGGAAATAATCCTGCAGCAACAGGAAATGTGAATTATTAACCTCAAAAACACTACAAGTTTAAAATGTCCTGCATTGCAGGAAAATTATCCTGCAACAGGATAATGAAATTAAGATCCTACATCTGTATCTTGTAAAGACATCATCTTGTCATCTTTCAAATATCCATGTTAGGTTCTGTTTTCTTAGTTTATACTATACTGTAACGGGTAGGAGGAAACATGGCAGAGGTTCAGCAGTAATATCGAAATATTTACAATATTCCAAATAGTTCTCTAGAGATGCACAGTGACATTTTCATCTGTGCCATAAAATAACTGGATAAGAACCATGTTCTGGATCTGAATTAATATATTGTTATCTTTAATGTTGTACGGTACATAAAGAGCATGACATTTAACCTTTATTGATACAGGGAATACCAATTGATATCAGGTTCTCTTTTTCAATGGTGTCCTGTTTTACAACAATCAACAAATCATGAAGGCTTTAATACTCCCATTCCACTTTGCATTATGAATGAGACACCATATGTACTTTATTGTTGATGACATTAAATCATAAGGAAGTGCTGTTGAAATTGCAACATTATTGTTGGTTGGGTGTCAGTTATTGTGTAATGCAGCAGTGAGATTTCAAAATACCAAATGGCAAGAAAATGAGGACTTTCTGCTATAACGACTAAAGCTGCTTCCTGGATCAGAATGTAAACAGGAAGTGGTGGGCTGTCAAACTGAATGTTCACTAGACATAAAACTGAAAGTGAACTGGAAGGTCATTTCAGTGCACCCGAAAATTATTAATTTAGAGTTCTCCATTGTTCAGTTGTAAATAGTTCACACATGCCAGTGAATGGCAGTGCCTCAAAGAAGCCACAAAGTCACTAATATACATCTTCCTATATGGCTTGCAAGGAGTAGGGATTCAAAGTAGTTCTCAAAGACCCTCATCTTACAACAAAATACTTATTTCGGGTCTCCCCATAAGATAACCCTTTTAAGTTCCAGGTAGAACCCTTTTGGGCTCCAGGTAGAACCCTTTTGGGTTCCATGTAGAACCCTCTGTGGAAAGGGTTATACATAGAACCCAAAAGGGTTCTACCTGGAACCAAATAGGTTCTACCTGGAACCAAAAGGTGTTCTTCAAAGGCTTCTCATATGGGGACAGCTGAAGATTTTTTTAGGTTCTAGATAGCACCTTTTTTTCTAAGGGTGTACACTTCAGATAGTGTTTAACGGAATCAATACAGAATACATACTTTTACTAACTTACATACGCAACAACAGTTGAGGTAACTGCTGCTCCAAGTAATAACTTGTGTCTAAACTTTATACAACTGTTCTACAGGGAGCTACTTGAGACTACCTGCCGCCTAGCCAACACCCTGAAGAGCCATGGGGTCAACAAAGGTGACCGGGTGGCCATCTATATGCCAGTGTTGCCCATCGCCGTGGCTGCCATGCTTGCGTGCGCTCGTATCGGTGCTGTGCACACGGTAGTGTTTGCTGGGTTCAGCTCAGAGGCCCTGGCTGGGAGGATTCAGGATGGTGAGTGATACTGGGCCTGGACTCATGTTTGACTGTGATTAACTCTTTAGAAATGTTAGGTCACGATCTCATGGTCCAGTTGGTAACCCAATAATGCATTTCAAGGACGTTTGTGTTTTGTATACAGATGCTCCCTTTATAGCCCAAACATGACATTTGAATGGTTGACTGAACACAAGGGAAATAAGGGCATTTCAATTGTGCATGCATGCAGCCATTCAAGTGAAAATGAAAAATGAGAGATTTGCTAGGCTGTTATCTGTAATCATACAAAGCTGACAAAATACTTAAGATTTGCACCTTTAAATAAAGCTTAATCATAGAGTTGACAGGGATTTCAGCTTTACTATTCAAAGGCACAGGATAAATGTCTGATAGTTAAACAGGATATAGCTACAATGGCCATGACCCATAAAATGGCTTAGACTGAATGGCTGCCAAGTTCTCAACACTCCCAAGTGAGTCATTATGCATAGAGCAATATCAGATTTGTAAAAATTTAACATGCTCTTGGCCGTTGTTTCTGGGATACACCAGTCATCAAGTCTCTTCCCCTTTTTTCCAACTTAACTCCAGTGAGAAACTGACCTGTTTTAGTCAAACGCTCCTAACATCATGAGACTAGACAAGGGTTGTTTAATTTCAAGCTGCATTTTGGGGTCAGACAGAAACCAGGCCAATTAAGAACGATCAAACAAAAGGCCAGCAGTTTAGGACACAGACTGAAGGATGAGACAGAAAACTAGGAGCAACATGTCATCTCAAACCTTTATAACATGTACAGCACAGTACTGAGTGTACAAAACATTAGGAACACCTGCTCTTTCCATGACATAGACTGAGCAGGTGAATCCAGGTGAAAGCTATGATCTGTTATTGACGTCACTTTTTAAATCCACTTCATGAAGGGGAGGAGACAGGTTAAATACGGATTTTTAAGCCTTGAGACAATTGAGACATGGATTGTGTATGTGCGCACCGGTTTGAGTGTGTCAAGAACTGCAACACTGGTGGGTTTTTTACCCTCAACAGTTTCCTGTGTGTATCAAGAATGGTCCACCACCTAAAGGACATCCAGCCAACTTGACACAACTGTGGGAAGCATTGGAGTCAACATGGGCCAGCATCCCTGTGGAACGCTTGTAGAGTCCATGTCCCGACGAATTGAGGCTGTTCAGAGGGCAAAAGGGGGTGCAACTCAATATTAGGAAGGTGTTCCTAATGTTTTGTACACTCAGTGTATACCTCAAACAGAACCAACAGATAGCAATTAGGCCTATTGACTTCTTGCATTTTCTCAAAGTACTTCATATTCTCAATTGGACTGTATGGTGATGTGTCCGCATGGTCTCAGATCTCTCAGACTGTATTCCCCATCTCCCTGCAGCCCAGTGTAAAGCTGTGATCACGTGTAACCAAGGTGTGAGGGGAGGTCGGTTCATAGACCTGAAACCTACAGTAGATGCTGCAGTGAAGAACTGCCCCACTGTCCAACATGTGTTCGTGGCCCAGAGGACCACTAACCCAACTCCCATGGGCAAACTAGACATCCCATTGGAGGAGGTAATACTTGTTCTTCATACTTTTTATTGTGCCGTGGAGGAGGTAATACTGAGTCTGAGTAGCGGGACAAGCCAGTAGCAGTCCTGTAACGGGATCAGTTTGCATTGCAGCTAAGCTCCGCTCACAGATGAAGTGGTGAACTGAAAGAACCATTATGTTATGTTATCTGTCATGTTAATATTTGTTATGAAAGATATATTTATTTGTCTGTCATTTCATCTGCCATTGTCACTGACGAGATTAAACACCTTGCGTTGTTTTGTTTTTAAGAACAACCTGTACCATTGAACAAAGTACATAGACCGACCTACTATGAGAGAAGCATGATGACATAGCACATATTTAACTTGAAGCAAATGAAGTGTAATTCCACTGCATTTAGCTCCATTTAGTAATTCCACTGCAAGAAACATCCATATCACCAAACCATATCTCCAGTCTCCAACTCTTTTCCTCTCTGTCTCAGGCGATGGCCAATGAGTCTACAGAGTGTGCTCCAGAGCCTATGGGCAGTGAGGAGATGCTTTTTATGCTCCACACATCAGGCAGTACAGGCAAGCCCAAGGGCATTGTCCACACACAGGCTGGCTATCTGCTCTATGCTGCACTGACTCACCAGGTACGTCTTCAGTTAACCCCTCTACGGAATACTGCTTACTTTAGAGAAGCAAATGCAGGTATGGTGCCTTTCTTAAAATGGTGATGTGGCAGAAAATATGCATTTGTTTAGCTGATAAATAGAACAAACTATAAAAGGAGGAGGAAGGCCCAATTACTGTGTTGTCTGAGACTGTTTTGATGATGGCTACAGACAGGGCAGTCTGAACAATATAAATGATCTGCCACATGGTTTGGCATAGCTTAGATCTGAACAATGAATTTATTGTTCCCCTTTTGTGAGAGAAGCCCCATTCCATATTCTGGGTAAAAATTAGCCCCCTTGACTGACAAATAAAAACATCTGTTTTCTCCCAGCTTTTTGATGCGGATGAGCATGTTGTGCTTGGTGGGATTGACAGACACAAAGCTTACATGATGTTGGTGATAATAATTGAATGAAAACACAGCTATGAATCTGCACGAGATGTGCTGCTAATTTCTAAGTAGCTTACCAGCTCAGACCCAAACAGACGTTGGCAATTGCTCGCACTGTCTCTTTTTGGCATGTTGGTTGTTTGGATTCAAAAAACAGACAAAGCTGCTTTATCTCTGTATCCCCCTGGAACAGACAGGGCCTCTTGGGACCATGCCAAAGAGAGACCTGATGTTGTTGCCAGGCTTTTGAGCATTTCTGCTTAGAGAACTATAAATGTGGCAGACATGTTGTGTGGGAAAGCCTGTAGAAGGGGAACATCAACATAGGAGATCTAAATATATATATATACAGTACCAGTCAAAAGTTTGGACACACCTACTCATTCCAGGTTTATTTATTTATTTTTACTATTTTCTACATTGTAGAATAAGAGTGAAGACATCAAAACTATCAAATAACACATATGGAATCATGTAGTACCCAGAAAAGTGTTAAACAAATCAAAATATATTATATATTTGAGATTCTTCAAATAACCACCCTTTGCCTTGATGACAGCTTTGCACACTCTTGTCATTCTCTCAACCAGCTTCATGTGGTAGTCACCTGGAATGCATTTCAATTAACAGGTGTGCCTTAATTTGAGGAATGCGTTTGAGCCAATCAGTTGTGTTGTGACAAGGTAAGGGGGGTATACAGAAGATAGCCCTATTTGGTAAAAGACCAAATCCATATTATGGCAAGAACAGCTCAAATAAGCAAAGAGAAACGACAGTCCATCATTACTTTAACACATGAAGGTCAGTCAATACGGAAAATTCCAAGAACTTTGAAAGTTTCTGCAAGTGCAGTCGCAAAAACCATCAAGCACTATGATGAAACTGGCTCTCATGAGAACCACCACAGGAATGGAAGACCCAGAGTTACCTCTGCTGCAAATGATACGTTTATTAGAGTTAACCGCACCTCAGATTGCAGCCTAAATAAATGCTTCACAGAGTTCAAGTCAAAGATACATCTCAACATCAACTGTTCAGAGGGGACTGTGTGAACGAGGCCTTCATGGTCGAATTTCTGCAAAGAAACCACTACTAAAGGACACAAATAAGAAGAAGAGACCTGCTTGGGCCAAGAAACATGAGCAGTGGACATTAGACCAGTGGAAATCTGTCATTTGGTCTGGAGTCCAAATTTTAGATTTTTGGTTCCAACTGCCGTGGCTTTGTGAGATTCGGTGTGGGTGAACGGATGATCTCCGCATTTGTATTTCCCACCGTAAAGCATGGAGGAGGAGGTGTTATGGTGTCGGGGTGCTTTGCTGGTGACACTGTCTGTGATTTATTTAGAATTCAAGGCACACTTAACCAGCATGGCTACCACAGTATTCTGCAGCGATATGCCATCCCATCTGGTTTGGGCTTAGTGGGACTATCATTTGTTTTTCAACAGGACAATGAACCAACACACCTCTAGGCTGTGTAAGGGCCATTTGACCAAGAAGGAGAGTGATGGAGTGCTGCATCAGATGACCTGGCCTCCACAATCCCCCGACCTCAACCCAATTGAGATGGTTTGGGATGAGTCGGACGGCAGAGTGAAGGCAAAGCAGCCAACAAGTGCTCAGCATATGTGGGAACTCCTTCAAGACTTTTAGAAAAGCATTCCAGGTGAAGCTGGTTGAGAGAATGCCAACAGTGTGCAAAGCTGTCGTCAAGGCAAAGGGTGGCTAATTGAAGAATCTCAAATATAAAATATATTTTGATTTGTTGAACAATATTTTGGTTACTACATTATTCCATATGTGTTATTTCATAGTTTTGATGTCTTCACTATTATTCTACAATGTAGAAAATAGTAAAAATAAAGAAAAACCCTTGAATGAGTAGGTGTGTCCAGACTTTTGACTGGTACTGTATGTATATATCTGTATACCTTAGTCAGAATTTCGCAATCTTGTAATCTTGATGATTTCATTGTCTGGAAAAGTACAGCATTGCTCAATGGACCTTGTCTCTAACCTAATAGGTTACTCAGAATTTCACACTCTTGTAATTTTGATGATTTCATTGTCCGGAAAAGTACAGCATTGCTCAATGGACCTTGTCTCTAACCTTACATGTTCCTGTTCTTGCAGTATGTCTTCGACTACCATCCAGGTGATGTGTTTGGCTGTGTGGCAGACATCGGCTGGGTGACTGGTCATAGCTATGTGGTGTATGGTCCTCTGTGTAATGGTGCCACCACTGTCCTCTTTGAGAGCACTCCTGTGTACCCAGACCCTGGTGAGCTATAACAGTACAAGTACAAGGGGTGTGAGGTGAAGAATAAAGGTTACAGGTTCAAAACCACACCCTAACAATATCTGATTGACACAATCATCCATTCAAGCAGACCACCATAGTCCCTGTGCCCAAGAACACTAAGATAACCTGCCTAAATGACTACCAACCCGTAGCACTCACGTCTGTAGCCATGAAGTGCTTTGAAAGGCTGGTCATGGCTCACATCAACACCATTATCCCAGAAACCCTAGACCCACTCCAATTTGCATACCGCCCCAACAGATCCACAGATGATGCAATCTCTATTGCACTCCACACTGCCTTTTCCCACCTGGACAAGAGGAACACCTACATGAGAATGCTATTCATTGACTACAGCTCAGCGTTCAACACCATAGTGCCCTCAAAGCTCATCACTAAGCTAAGGACCCTGGGACTAAACACCTCCCTCTGCAACTGAATCCTGGACTTCCTGATTGGCCGCCCCCAGGTGGTAAGGGTAGGTAACAACACATCTGCCACGCTGATCCTCAACACGGGGTCCCCTCAGGAGTGTGTGCTCAGTCCCCTCCTATACTCCCTGTTCACCCATGAATGCATGGCCAGGCACGACTCCAACACTATCATTACGTTTTCCGACGACACAACAGTGGTAGGCCTGATCACAGACAACGATGAGAAAGCCTATAGGGAGGAGGTCAGAGACCTGGCCGTGTGGTGCCAGGATAACAACCTCTCCCTCAACGTGATCAAGACAAAGGAGATGATTGTGGACTACAGAAAAAAAAGAGGACTGAGCACGCCTCCATTCTCATCGACGGGGCTGTAGTGGAACAGGTTGAGAGCTTCAAGTTCCTTGGTGTCCACATCACCAACAAACTATCATGGTCCAAACACACCAAGACAGTCGTGAACAGGGCATGACAAAGCCTATTCCCCCTCAGGAGACTGAAAAGACTTGGCATGGGTCCTCAGATCCTCAAAAAGTTATACAGCTGCACCATCGAGAGCATCCTGACTGGTTGCATCACCGCCTGGTATGGCAACTGCTCGGCCTCCGACCGCAAGGCACTACAGAGGGTAGTGCGTACGGCCCAGTACATCACTGGGGCCAAGCTTCCTGCCATCCAGGACCTCTATACCAGGCGGTGTCAGAGGAAGGCCCTAAAAATTGTCAAAGACTCCAGCCACCCTAGTCATAGACTGTTCTCTCTGCTACTGCACAGCAGAACAGCTAATCATGGCTACCGGAACTATTTGCATTGCCCCCCCACCCCACCCAACCCCCTCTTTTACACTGCTGCTACTCTGTTTATTATTTATGCATAGTCGCTTTAACTCTACCCACATGTACGTTACCTCAATTAACTCGACTAACCGGTGCCCCCGCTCATTGACTCTGTACCGGTACCCCCTATATATAGCCTCCCTACTGTTATTTTATTTTACTGCAGCTCTTTAATTATTTGCTATTTTTTACTTAACACTTTTTAAAAAACTGCATCATTGGTTAAGGGCTTGTAAGTAAGCATTTCACTGTAATGTTTACACCTGTTGTGTTCGGCGCATGTGGCAAATACAATTTGATTTGATTTGATTTGACTATTAACCATTAAGATGTGTCTACAGCTGTTACATTGAGACAGAGGATACTTTGGCAGGAGACTTTGACATTAAACATCAAAGTTCTTGCTTTCTTTTTCTGGTGCTTTTTACTCATTTGTCCTCATTACAAGAGGTCATAGAGTTAAACAGGTCGTATCCACAGAGAGAGAGACAGGTGACTTGTTACCAGCTGGGTGGATGTCACAGCTTTCAGCAGTATTGGAATACTTATGCCCTGGGCTAGGGGCAATAAGGGTCAAAGTACGGGATATTTCAAGCTAATTGTGTAATACAAAAATCATTACTGTTTGTGTTTAGTTAGAAGTTATATATTATATAGGCATGTATTATGATGTTGAGAAAGGGAAGTTCTGTTGCTATGTGTGCTATAACTAATGTATAACTACTACCGTAATACACAATGTATGACACAGGGATAACTTTTAAATGTAGTGTTTGGGACAACAAGAACACCTTAGAAATATGAATAAAGTGGATCACTGTAGTTGTAACTGGCTTCGCTGGCATTTCTCCAGTGTTGAGTGACTCATTAACAGTCTTGATGACACTTTTGTTCTTTGTTTACTACCTTGGCTTGTCGACTGAAGGAGTGCTTCAAAGTGTTATCAGTTAATTGTTAAGGTTTCCTGTAAGCTTTGTAGTGATATGACATTGGCCGATGCCCTCTATAGCCTTGGCATAATAGGACATTTCCCGTTCTTGTTTTTGTGTTCCTATTTAGTGGGTTATGGAAACAGAAAGGATCTATTTTGCTGATGTGTGTGTATTGCTTTACCATGATGACTATGTGTCTTTGTCCCCTCAGGGCGATACTGGGAGACGGTGCAGCGACTGGGCATTAACCAGTTCTACGGTGCTCCCACTGCCATCAGGCTGCTGCTGAAATATGAGGAGAGTTGGGTAAAAAAGTATGACAGGTCCTCCCTCAAGACCCTCGGCTCTGGTGAGAGACTAGATGAGTGCCCCCTGCACCATCATTTGCCAATGAGCGCACAGTTGATTCTACCAGATAAATTAAATAACGGATCAACTGTTCTGTATATAATTGAGTTGCATAGTTGCCAATTCAAATTCAAAGTGAATGACTGCGTATTATGGAAACTTGACTTGATTCCAGTGATTCCTGTCAGTGTTACAATGACATTAATAAACAATTAGTCTCAGAGTTCTCTGCTATCACTATCAGCATCACATTCATAGGCCAAAATGATTGTTAATCAAAGCAGTTGAAAGCATTTAATATCTTTATTATAATTGTCTTATTACTGAAATACCCTATCAGTAAAAAGGTAGTCCATTATCTAAAGAATACAGAATTGATATGCCTAGAGTACATTTTAAAAAATTTTAAACTAGCACTGAGTGTGCCCAGAGCTGGGTGTACCTGTATTGAGCGTTATCTGTCTTCTTGCAGTGGGGGAACCTATCAATCACGAGGCATGGGAGTGGTTCTACAACGTGGTGGGAGATGGAAGATGCCCTCTAGTGGATACATGGTGGCAGACAGGTAATCTCAGGGCGGCTGAATGTCTTGGCCAAGGTTGTCTGATGTGGTAAATGCTTAAACTTGAATGGCCTTAGCTTAATGGTGCATTATAAAATCTCTTTTAAAGAGTCTTCACATTTTTTTAGTGCACTACCATGTAGGACATCGTAATACAATACATTACATGACATGCCACAAGGGCTTATCAAAGGCATATAAAATCAGGTAAAGTTAGGTTTGTAAGATGGAGGAGACAATCATGACTTGAAAAATCATACATAATCAAGCTTATTTTCTGCATTAAATGAATGCTAACACCTGTGCTATTATGTTGCATGCTGGTGGAGGAGAAAGCTCTGCCTCCAAGGCGCTTCTTGATTTGTTATGGTGGTTTCTGTGCTGATCTAGACAATAAGTCTGTCTGATACTCTGTTTATTGGTGGCTTAACCGTAATTTGCGATTAGCACAAGGAACATCTGCACTGAAAAGGAATTAAAATAATCACCCCCAACACACTTACCCCCTTCTCCCCGACTCCCCCAACCCCCAGCGGGAGAAGGCTTTCCAGTGAGGGTCTGGCAGAAGTGAAGTGGGGAGGGTCATGACCTAATTCCTCGAAAATCACTTTCTGGGTTTTCTCCATGTGCTAAGTCTTTTGAGGGGGGCTGGAGAGTGGGGTTCTTCCAAAGGCTTAGTAGGAAAATGAAGTGTAATTTTATTTTATTAAGGTGATTATCACTTATTACTCATTTGCCATAGCACAGGGGTTCTGCCCTCACCCCTCTTCCCCATCAGCAAAACATAGACAATCTGTACTGCAGCCAGACTTAGGTCAAATACAGTACATATCAACTACTCTCCAGTACGTCAGCTGCACATCCCTTTAACCCTGCTTATTGCACTTCTCCATGCATCTCCTGTCTCTCTCTCTCTCTGTCCCCAGAGACAGGAGGTGTGTGTATCGCTCCAAGGCCAGCTGAAGAGGGTGCTGAAATTGTGCCGGCCATGGCCATGAGGCCCTTCTTCGGCATTCAGCCTGTTCTCATGGAGGAGAAGGTAAATTCACTGATATAAAAACGTATTTGTTCTATGTTCATCATTAAGGCACAATCTTAAATGTTTTCCCTTCCATTGTTGTGAATCAAGTCCTGGTGAAATGTAGTCAGTGGTACGACCTCATTCGCCTCTGACGGCATTCTGGGACTTTGGACTCTTGTTCTTCAGAAGCCATAAAAAGTATAACCGGACCATGTCCAACTGCTCCAAGGAAAACCCACTCTTCCCCTCCTCAACTGACTGTGTGATCTCGCTCTCCGTGGCCGATGTGAGCAAAAAGTTTAAAACAGGTTAACAATCACAAGGCCGCCAGGTGGAATACAAGGGTGCATTCTCAAAGCATGCACAGACCAGCTGGCAAGTGTCTTCAGACATTTTCAATCTCTCCTTGTCCCAGTCTGTAATCCCAACATGTTTCAAGCTGACCACCATTGTCCCTGTTTCCAATATCTCCAAGGTAACCTGCCTAAATGACTACCGCCCTGTAGCACTCACATCTGTAATTATGAAGTGCTTTGAAGGCTAGTCATGACATACATCAACACCATCATCCCAGACACCCTAGACCCACTCCAATTCGCATACCGCCCCAACAGATCCATAGATGACGCAATCTCAATTGCACTTCACACTGCCCTTTCTGAAAAGATTTGGCATGGGCCCTCGGATCCTCCAAAAGTTCTACAGCTGCACCATCGAGAGCATCTTGACTGTCTGCATCACCGCTTGGTATGGCAAATGTACCGCCCTTGACCGCAAAGCGCTACAGAGGGTGGTAGGGACAGCCCAGTACATCACCTTGGCCGAGCTCCATGCCAACCAGGACCTCTATACCATGCAGTGTCAGAGGAAGCCCCGAAAAATTGCCAAAGACTCCAGACTATTCACTCTGCTACCGCTTCTACCCCCAAGCCATAAGACTGCTAAATAGCCAGACTTCTAAATAGTAAATTAATGGTACCCGAACTATCTTCACTGACTCAATCTTGCACTGACCCTACGCACACTCACTAGACTATATATACACACCATATACACAGTCACACACACTACCTTGACACTCCCACACAAAACTCCCACACATTCACATACACTACATACGCACACACACACATATACCGACACAACACAAACACACATACACATTACACACACACACTCACACACTTTTACACTCATCATTTGCTGCTGATGCTCTGTTCTTTATTTGACTCTTATTATTATGATCTATCATGATGCCTAGTCACTTTACCCTGCCTTCATGTACATATCTACCTCATACCTCGTACCTCTGCACATTGATCTGGTACTGGTACTCCCTGTATATAGCTCCACATTGATCTGGTACTGGTACTCCCTGTATATAGCTCCACATTGATCTGGTACTGGTACTCCCTGTATATAGCTGCACATTGATCTGGTACTGGTACTCCCTGTATATAGCTGCACATTGATCTGGTACTGGTACTCCCTGTATATAGCTCCACATTGATCTGGTACTGGTACTCCCTGTTTATAGCTCCACATTGATCTGGTACTGGTACTCCCTGTATATAGCTCCACATTGATCTGGTACTGTTACTCCCTGTATATAGCTCCATTCTAGTGCATTTTATTTTATTCCTCTTGTGTTACTATTTTATTTGTATTATTATTTTTAAACTCTGCATTGTTGGGAAGGGCTCGTAAGCAAGCATTTCACGGTAAAGTCTACACCAGTTGTATTTGGCGCATGTGACAAATAACATTTGATTTTGATTTGATTTGAACTGGTCTTTTATAGCACTAAGTACTGTACGTTAGACGCTAATTGTGGGACAGTGAAATGATAAAGAGGAAGTGTGTATGTGGGGATCTCTCTGTAGCTGTTGTTGCCCCCCCCCCCCCCCCCCCCCCCCCCCCACCTGCTCTCTCAGTATTACATGTGGAACCTTTTCAGCTGTAGAACAGAGACTTAAGGACAGAGATAGATAGCTTTCTGTCCAGCAATTCCTCCGGCTTGAACCGACATGACCCTGTGGTAGATGGGTCACACCCGTCTTATCGCCTTTCACATTGCAATTAAAACTAGCCTGCATATGCTTCCCTTTCCTTGATTAACATATTTACAGGGCTTTGTTGGAGTGGTAACGTGACCTCGAAACTTAATTTCTCCTCTCCGCGTCTTTTACTAGTAATTTCAGTAAACAGTAAATCTACACGCAAGTACTGTATAACATGCATGCACTGAATTTCTATGTATTGTTGTTACCTATGTGTATTACTGTAGAGGTTGATCTTTATAAACAGGCAAATTCTTATTTGTTGTGACATGCTTGCTGCATGATTTTTTTACATGCACTTTTAATGTTTGTGTTTACATTCTATACTGATTAGTTTTATTAATTCAAATGTTTTAATGTGAGAGAACCTAATAAGTTATTTAAATGTTTTATTCATTTTCCTTTTATCTCCAACAGGGGAAGCCTATATCAGGAAATGATGTCAGTGGAGCCCTTTGTATCAGCCAGCCATGGCCTGGAATGGCCAGGACCATCTTTGGGGACCACGAGAGATTTGTGGATGCATACTTCAAAGCATATCCTGGTGAGTTGGCCTAATTCCGTGTCCCTGTGAGCTCCTCTCTATAGAAAATAGGTTATTTTATTTCATAGTGAAATCAATATGAGAATGGTAGATAGTAATCTACATATCGATGAGTGGCAAAGAGGAGGTGAGGGCCCTGGTGGAGTGGTGCTAGGAAAATAACCTCTCCCTCAACGTCAACAAAAAGAAGGAGATGCTCGTGGACTTCAGGAGACAGTTGTAAATGAGAACTTGTTCTCAACTGGCCTACCTGGTTAAATAAAGGTGAAATAAATAAATAAAATAAAAAAGACAGCAGAGAGAGCATGCCCCCATCCACATCGACGGGGCCGCAGTGGAGAGGGTGAAAAGCTTCAAGTTCCTCGGCGTGCACATCATTGACAACCTGAAATGGTCCATTTCACACAGACAGTGTGGTGAAGAAGGCACAACAGCTCCTCTTCAACCTCAGGAGGCGGAAGAAATTCGGCTTGGCCCCTAAGACCCTCACAAACTTCTACAGATGCACCATTGAGAGCATCCTGTCGGGCTGTATCACCGCCTGGTACGGCAATTGCACCGTCTGCAACCGCAGGGCTCTCCAGAGGGTGGTGCGGTCAGCCCAACGCATCACCGAAGGAAACACTGCCTGCCCTCCAGGACATCTACAGCACCCAGTGTCACAGGAAGGCCAAGAAGATCATCAAGAACCTCAGCCAACCGAGCCACGACCTGTTCACCCAGCTACCATCTAAAATGCGGAGACAGTACAGGTGCATCAAAGCTGGGACCAAGAGACTGAAAAACAGCTTCTATCTCCAGGCCATCAGACTGTTAAATAGTCACCACTAGCCAACCTCCACCCAGTACTCTGCCCTGAACCTTAGTCACTGTTACTAGCCAGCTACCACCCAGTACTCTACCCTGCACCTTAGAGACTGCTTCCCTATGTACATAGTCATTGAACACCAGTCCCTTTAATAATGTTAGCATACTGTTTTACCCACTTCATATGTATATACTTTATTTTAGTTGAGACTCATCTACCTATATAACTACTGCTGTACACACCTTTTCTATTCATATGTTGTCCAATCTGTCTATATACACAATTATACACTGAATGTACAAAACATTATGAACACCTGCTCTTTCCATGACATAGACTGACCAGGTGAATCCAGGTGAAAGCTATGATCCCTTATTGATGTCACTTGTTAAATCCACTTCAATCAGTGTAGATGAAGGGGAGGAGACAGGTTAAAGGAAGGTGTTCTTAATGTTTTGTACACTCAGTGTATACAGGATATACTGTTAATTTATATTTTGGACTCATTGCACATTCTGCTGTTTCTTAATTTATTTTGTATTTTTTGTCTGTATATTGTTTTGTATTACTGCACTGTTGGAGCTAGAAACATAAGCATTTCTCTGAACCTGCGATAACATCTGCAAATATGTATACACGACCAATAAAATTTGATTTGGATTTGATTTGAGGTAGCAGGGCTAGAAAATAATACCAGTATATTTGTCTAACATGTCAAACAATGTTGACAATGTTAAGATAACGATTACTGAGAGACATTAGGTCACTGTTTATTACCCAAGGGTGAGCTTTGGAGTTGATTCTATTCCAGGTCATTACTTCACTGGGGATGGAGCATATCGGTCTAAAGAAGGCTACTATCAGATAACTGGGCGTATGGATGATGTTATCAACATTAGTGGCCACCGATTGGGTACTGCTGAAATCGAGGATGCCCTGGTAAGAACTAACACACTTAGCCTATTTGTTACATGAATGGCAGCTGTATGTTCGGTTGACTCACTAATAAATTCAATATCATGATTATGTGAAAGAGTCACTGTACCGTTGTTGTCAATGGGGATTTCTTGTACATTTCTTGAATGGTTGTCTTCTGTCTTTTAGGATGAACATCCAGCAGTTCCTGAGACGGCTGTGATCGGTATTTCCCATGATCTCAAAGGAGAGGGTAAGAGTACAAATATAGACATACAGTGTAAAACCTCTCTATCATCACACATTAACACAGACAACACACATTTGTTACAGTATGTATGTGAATCAGGTATTTCTTGAGCTTTGAAATGGCTTCTAAACCGTTGAATAACAGTACAAGGCCACCAGGAAATGGAAAGCTTCTTAGCTTTGAGTCAACTCTCTCCTTGAATCTAGTCACTGTTACCCTTTAGTGGAATAGGCACTAGCTTTCAGCTGTGCCAATACTAGTGTAATATACCCAAAACTATAGGGGCTAAAACGAACAGTCTCTCAGTATGATTTGTTACTGAGGTTAATGATGAACCCTGAGAAAATCCATAGAAGTTTGTTCTTGGTAAACTCTTGACACTCAGCACCACCTTCTGGCTTTAAAGGGGAATAACAAGGAATATGTGGTCTTCATGAGATTCAACCAACCCACATACAAACCAAAAGAAGATCAAGATTGCTGAAATTACATATGTATATATCTATGTACACTGAAATTACATATGTGTACATCTATATGACTATCAAGTGCATTGAAGTTTATTTACAACTTGTAATTCATAGTTATTGGCACATTCTATCAAACCTTTGTTCCATGTTTTCCTTCCCTTGTACAACAGTTCCCTTTGCCTTTGTGGTTTTGAAAGAAGACCCTTCCCTGAACCATACAGCAGTCATTAAAGAGCTGTGTGGCCTGGTGGCCACTAAGATAGCAAAGTATGCTGTCCCTGACCAATTTCTGGTGAGGATATTTACGCTGTTTGTGGTTACTGAACTGTGCATTCCTGTTAACCAAGGCAGTATATAACACTGCTGTTGTTGAAGATCCTAGTATATGGAAATTGAATTAGTTTTTAACTTGTAATAGATGGTTTCTTTCATCTATCTGTCGTTCATCCTCTTTCAGGTAGTGAAGAGACTTCCCAAGACACGCTCTGGGAAGATAATGAGGAGAATCCTGCGGAAGGTGGCTATGGAGCAGACAGAAGACCTGGGCGATGTGTCCACTCTGGATGACCCATCTGTTGTCGCAGAGATCATCAAGGCCCATGCTCAGTACAAGAGCCTGACATCTCAGAATAAATAATGAAGTAGGCTTTATCACTGCTAAGATGTTGTGTTGGCAACTTGGCACTGGTCACTTGAGTTACAGCTCACTTCACTCACTCCATTCTGAATGTTATACTGTGCAGATATGCTGAGTTAGTTTTATGACCACAGTCCTTCAGTTGTTCACTATGTATGGTTCCTTTATATAAGACACAAGACACTCAAGATTTGACAGTCTGTGTACACAGTACACCACGTTCTTTCCCGTAAGAAGAATTATCGTAAGGTTAATGAGAGATGAAGATGATCAAATGCACAGTATTTTTTTTACTTTGTTTTTTAATAAGAGCCACCGAACACGCCGATTGGCACGTGTGTTTTTCTGTTGCTCATTAGAAAAAACGAGATTTCAGTCTTGGAGGTATGTTTCCTGACTGTTATTCACCTCATGTTAGTGGGCAAATGGACACCTTCAAATCAAAACACAACCTTCATTTATTTACCCGTTGTGGCACACCGATGTTCCAAACTCCGTTTTAGAAGAGACTTACTTTATGAACAAAATTATCCTATTTACACTTTGTAGTCAATTTTGACGCTACAATAACTGTTTCTGACTCAAATAGATGCCACAAATGCAGTTTTCAAAGGGATTCGTTGCTTTTTAAAGGCAGACGTCTTTAAAGCTGCAATATGTAAGCCTGAGAAGCGGTAGATCTGTTCTATGTGTGTTATTTCTATGCTTGGGGAAGTTTCGTTTTTGGGTCTTTTAACTTTCAGTTTTGTACACCAGCTTCAAACAGCTGAAAACACAATATTTTTGTTTATGAAAAATATATTTCACAGGGGTTTAGATGGTAAAATGACTCTACACTATACCTGCTTGTTTTATCACATCAACTGAAATTAGGCGAACAACTAGAATTTTAGCAACCAGGAAATGGCAGTGCGATTTCTGCATAGTACATGTTTAAAGTCATGAGGTGTAATGTAAATAAGATTTTACCTGTCATTCACTAAATGTGCAATTTGATACTTGAAAAGGTGCTGTAATGAATAATGAATTATTCCTTCAGAATAATGGTGTTTTATATATTTTATCGATATAAATGTCCCATTTTAACTAATTTTAAGAAATAAAAAGAAATTGTTCACTTGATTGAAAAATGTACTTGAGAATGAACCATTTTTTCCATATTCAATCTTTATAATATACATGCCATATTGAAATTATATCAGAATTAATTGAGTTTATGTTGTAAATTCTTACAAAAAATAAAGCAACTAACACAAATGAGCACTGTTTATTGCCTTGTCAACTGCTGTTGCATATTTATTGCATATATATGGCATAATAAATCGAATAACTATTTTGTATTTTTGCAGTCCTTATTAGTGATTATATTAATCGACATAAACAAGCCTTTTTGTTGAGCAATTCCATGATATTTAATGTTTTACAGTTAAACATATGCAGAGGAGGAAACGACTTCTCCCCAAAAACAAAACAAAAACAACTCCAGTCCTTGCTGGTAAAAATAAATATCTACAATCTGCATGCCAACCATTTGATCTTCTTATTTAGTTATGAACAGTGTGGAGCGAATTTTAGAGCAGATGGTGTAAACAAACTGTAGCATACCTGTGTTTTATTTCAATCAATGCACACATTTTGCCTAGCGACGGGCGCTGTTGAGTTTTGGCCCCAGAGAAAATGTGACCATTTGCACAATCATCATAAAATATAAGGTGGTGTTTTTTGTCTCTTACACTAATGTTATACTATGCTATTATATTCGGTTCTATTTACAATACTATTATTATGTGATCTTGTAGACATCGATTCAGCTTTTATCTAACTTTATTAAACGACCACTATTCGCCAGAGTATCCTGTTCTCTAAATCTTCTACATCAGCATTGCTTGCTGTTTGGGGTTTTAGGCTGGGTTTCTGTATAAGCACTGTGACATCTGCTGATGTAAAAAGGGCTTTATAAATACATTTGATTGATTGACTCTACGAGTAGAGCAGACTGCTTAAGTAGAGAAACCCCGCAAATGCGCAGAAGCAGAGAGGAAGAGGCCAAGCGAGAGGGATAACTGGGCAGAGATACTTTTGAGGAGATGGAAACTCAATTGGAATCGTATTAACGCCCATTGTGTGCGTTGCCCATGCCTCGTCAATGGACCGCGCGGTATATTCTGGGCGATTCTGGGACAAGGAGCGCGCTCCTTCAAGGTGTAAATGGGAGTCAATTGGGCGCTAGCTCAAAAACTCAACATTAGCATGAATTTTGTCAACAAGAAGTACAACATTACAAATCATTTCCTAGATGTGAAATAATGAATAAGTTATCTGTAATATCGTATAGATTTGGAATCGTGACATGATGTACTTTCGAGGAAAATAGCCAGGTTTCTCGACTCATACACTGACTTTGAGGCGGGATTGCGTGACGATTATTTTAGCAACCCTGTGACGCCACATGACAACGTGAACGCAATTGGTCGATGTTCTGCTGGGCGAGGCATTGTAAGTTCCTCAATTCATTGCCCAATGTGATTCCTATCTCCTCATTTCTCCAATATCTCTGAACTGGGTAACTGGACCCAACATCTTCTTCTCCAGCAGGTGGCGTTTCTTGTGCTCATCAAGCGAGGAGTTTTTGTATATAGGTCAATGAGAGTGTCGAATTTGGTTAACCAAAAAATGTAATGGATTATTTGCTACGTGTGTCTTATTTGATCAAACATACGTTTCGTAATGCTTAGGTTGTTGTGAGTGTACTGATATAAGTAGGACACGTGACATCACGGCAATCTTTGAGAAAAAAACACTTTATATCGGAGTTGAGCCTGTTGTTCACACGGGTATAGCCCTCTCATTGGCTAGAATGGTCCCACCTGATATTCCCTCATCCCGGTGCCTTCCATATTTTTATTTATTTTTTACATTTTTTTTTCATTGTTAGAGCGGCCACTAAAGTATCTGGTCAATATAATGGATAGGCATCGTGAGGAAAGGTCCAGTTAATCAGTGGAACTCGGTCCGGCTTTAAAATTACTCTTGAAAGTTGTAATAGTATAATGCACAAGGTGAAATTTGGAAGTGCATCATCAGTTCTTCTTGTCATGTTAGTCGTTGCATACCTTAGAGAGCTATTTATAACTTGTCAGAAATCTCCAGATCAACTAGCCCATGTCAGCTAATATTTATTTATTTGTTTTTTTTAGCCCATAGATATTGTTGTAATTTTTTTGTCACTGAAATATCACATGAATACACATAAGACATGGCAAAATGTATAGAATAGCATGAAAATTAGCTTTAAAACTGCAGAATTGTCTTTGCACACCATGACAAAACGTGTAGAATTGCAGGAAAAAACCTGCAAAATTTTCTCCGCCAACAAGAGGGGTGTGAATATGACAGTGGCGGTCAGTGCCGTTTAAGATGAGGGAGGACAATTTTTTAAAATGACTATGGCCTCATTTCTATTATTACTACATTAATTACACACAGCCTATGCACGCATGACTGTAAGTCGCTTTGGATAAAAGCGTCTGCTAAATGGCTTATTATTATTATAGCATATTGGATGACTCAATCATATTCCATTCACCCAGTTCAATGTAACAGCGATAGGTTTAGGCTACTACATGATACTAGACTTTTCCTAATAGCCATCATGAGGTTGCTACAACCTAGCCTATGAATGAAAGTTTACAACGTAGGTGCACACAGGTCGAGAGACATATTTGAGGTGACAGACAGTGACAGATGGACAGACAGTGACACTCTTGCCTGCATCTAGCTGATATAGGGTGCAATCATTAGTCCAACAGTTGCAAACGAGAGTTTCTATTGGACAAATTCAGGTATGTTTATCCTCGTTTTGTTCCGTTTGCTTCCGTTTAAGAAACGTTTTTCAACCGAATCGGCGGAATGAATACACCCCTGATCACGCGTAAACACAGTTCACTTTCATAGCACCCACGTTGTATTCCTTCTCACATCAAGCTGCTCTCCTCCTTTCACCTCTTTCCACGCTTGTGGACTTCAATGCACAACACATCAGCTGTAAAGTGACCAGGTGAAAAAACCTCTCCAAGCCAAACCGCTACACACAGCCTACATCGTTGTCATCATATTAGCTAAAGTAATATCATAGTCATCATAGCTAATAGAACTAACGCGTTAGTAAACCCGCTACAATCATGCAGTAACGTTACAGTGTACAGTCAGTAAGCAGCTACACTGGTGGGCCCCGGTGGCAATAAATGAGTAAAACCAAAAGTTTACCTTGACTTTGAAGAGTTCCAGTTTTGTGTTGGAAAGCCATAGCCAGCTAGCGAACATAGCATCCCTCTGTTTGAGCAGGGTGTTTCAGTAGGCTAAACTAGGTAGCTGCATTTGCTAGCTAAGTAAGTGAAAGGGATTTTTTTTGGGGAAATCTCTCTCTATATTTCTCTCTGGCTTCTCCTTCATTTTGGAAGAAATTAATTTGTTCAAAACTGTTCAACTACTGTCTTTCTCTCTCTTTGAGTCAACTACTCAACACATTTTATGCACTGCAGTGCTAGCTAGCTGTAGTTTATGCTTTCAGTACTAAATTAATTTTCTGATACTTTGATTGGGTGGACAACATGTCAGTTCATGCTGTAAGACCTCTGATAGGTTGGAGGACGTCCTCCGGAAGTTGTCATAATTACTGTGCAAGTCTATGGAAGGGGGCGAGAACCATGAGCCTCCTAGGTTTTGTTTTGAAGTCAATGTACCAAGAGGAGGACAGAAGCTGGCTGTCTTCCGGCTACACCGTGGTGCTACCCTACAGAGTGCTGTTGAGGCTACTGTAGACCTTCTTTGCAAAATAGTTTGTTTTAATCAATTATTTGGTGACGTGATTATATTTAGTATAGTTTTATCTAAAAATGATAACTTTTTTAATGTTTTACAATTTTTATGAAATTCACTGAGGAGGATGGTCCTCCCTTCCTCCTCTGAGGAGCCTCCACTGGAAAATGAACAGCGCTTGTACCCATAGAAATAGATGTGGCGCGTGCGCGCGCACGTAGGGGGGGCGCGGAATGTTTCCCAATACTGGAAGGGGATTCCGAGTGAAAAAGATTGGGAAATCCCTGCAGCACACCCGTCGCTATGGGCGGGCCATAGGTGGCCGGGCCCGCCCCCAAAAATGCTTGTGCCCCCCCACCCCCACTTGAGGGAATTTATTATTAAATATACGTACTGTAGGCTAATAATAATTGTGCCCTGCCCTCCCATGCATTTCATATGCCCCCTTTAAGACTGAGGTCTGGCGACGGGTCTGCCCTGCAGTAAATGTCGGATCTGAAGCCACTCCGATAAAGAGGAGGAGATACCCGTACTTGGAAATATCTAAATAAATGCCA